TTTTTATTTATTTAGAAATATGGTTAATATGTATTTTTATTTTCCCTGTCTCTCTCTCTCTCTCTTTTTTGTTAAGGGGCCCAATATTTTCTTCTGCGCCTGTGGCCTCAATTGATCTTAATCCACCTCTGATCATTTACATATTTCATCAATTGTAGGGATCCATCAAAGATGAATAATCTTTCAGATTAATATTAGCATCTTTCATTACTCTATCAAACAAATATTAAATTGAATGGAGAGTATCTCCTTGACATAAACCATTATTAATGTCAAAGCCCTGTGCACTTTAATTTGGGCATTCTTAATGAAAACTTGTAGTCATGCCTGCTTTTCAGTAGCTTAATTCTCTCATTCTTGATGGTAAATTTAATTCTTAAAATTTGAAAAACCTTCAAAATAAACAGTAATCTCCTTTTTTAAATCATTTTTATATATTTTCCTTCTTTCCACTATATACTGAAAATTTAAAATATTGCCTGGTTTTTTGGTTTGTACTGTACAATGAATTCAAGAAATAGTATTTAGATTAATTACTCTTTAGTATTAAGATCCTGTAAAACCACTGCTTAGAAATTGGTACTGTATTACAAGCAATGCAAACCAATATTAATTAAAGAAATGAATAATACTGAATGCTAAAAAAAAAAAAAAAAAAGGAAAGGATGTAATGATTGTAATGTATCACTAAATAAAAAGCTACTTAACAAAATATGAATGCAAAAACATAAAATGGCAATTTGTTTATTGCACAGAGAAAGTTTTTCAATGTAAAACATGTGTATATAAATACAGTAGAGCGTCGATTTTCCAAATCAATTGGGGACTGGGGTTGTCCGGATAACTGATATTTCAGATAACTGATTTACGTACGAAAAAATAGTTTAACGTATCCGATGTCGAAATTTTTCTCCGTTGCGTGTCGCTTTGAGTTGAATTTTCGTCAATGTTAAGCCTAACAAAAATTTTTTTAAAATAATAATCGNGAAAATTTAAATTTGCTGACTGGAATTCTTTCGGATGACTGACGTTTCGGATGACTGACTTTCGGAAAATCGACGCTCTACTGTATAATCATAATAAATATTTTGTAAACAGAAAATTCTTTGTGCAATATGAAAATAGAGATAAATCAATTTTATACTTGTTTTTTATTTTTTCATGGAAAAATAGAAAAAGTATATAAGAGTAGAATGAAAATACAGTAATAAAGATTAATTTGTTAATTTGAATTTTTTATTGTTTTGTAATAATGATAATGATTTCGAACTAAACAATACATCAGAAATATTATTATTTCTAATTTATTGTAAGAATTCATAAGTATTTGCTTAATAATCAAAACTTAAAAAGTAATCATTTTGATACATTGTGCCAAAATCTTTACAATTTTATATTGTACCCAACAGAAGATTAAACACAGGTGCTTGAAATTATAGTTGTTTAGTTCAAATATTTAGAATTTATTTGGCAATGTATGTTATAATTATTTTATGTTTTTTTTTCTTTTCTTTCTTCTTGAATTTAGGAGAAGCAGGCTTTCCAGGGTTGCCTGGAAAACAAGGAATACCAGGTGAACCAGGACCACCTGGTTTCCCAGGAGAAAAAGGTGATGCAGGTTTTCCTGGTCCGCCAGGTGCGAGTGGTAGAGATGGTTTTCCTGGTTTGAAAGGTGATAGTGGAGAACCTGGTTTAACTGGTCTTAAAGGTGAACGTGGCTTGCCAGGTCCTCCTGGTTTACCTGGAAAACAGGGACCTCAAGGATCACCTGGTAAATATAACTATAATTTATTCTTTCTTTTAAAATAAATAAAATTATCGTAATTTAAGTACATTAAACTATATTCATATGTAAAGCTGTATATTACTGTATAATTAAGTTTCCTTTATTTTTAGAATAGTGAAAGGGACCTTAGGTTCCTAGAATAGAAGGATAAATTCAATTCTATCAAGAATTAATTTGTCTAATTTACAAGATATATGTTTCATTATCAAGTGTATCATGAAACAATATTTTGTAAATTCTAAAAGTTCTACAAAGAGTTGATGAATTTGCATCCTTTACTATAATAATAATTAAGGCTAACTAATGCTCATTGTATTGGGTTGTTTAGAAAGTAATTTCGTTTTTTTTACCACTAGATGGATTAGTTGTATTTTTCCCACCATTTTCATTTTAAACTGTATTATCATTATATATTTTGACAGCTAGCATTTTAAGGCTTATTTGTAAAAAATTTTGTTAGATTTTGTGCAATTGTTTATTTTTTGTATCTTATCAAATATGGAAGACCGAAAGCAGCATTTTCGGCATATTTTGCTCTTTTATTACCAAAAAGGTAAGAATGCTGTTCAAGCGAGAAAAAAATTGTGTGATGTGTATGGAGAAGATGTATTGACAGAATGACAGTGCCAAAACTGGCTTACAAAATTTCGTTTTGGCAATTTCAATATTGAAGTTGCACCACATTCTGGATGGCCAGTTGAAGCCAATGACAACAAAATAAAGATACTGATTGAAGCAAACTGCCAAATAACAACATGTGAAATCACTAAGAGATTAAATTTGTTGAATTGAACTGTTTATGATTAATTGAAACAAATTGGTTTTGTTTCAAAGCTCAATATATGGGTTCCACATATTCTTAAAGAGAGATGCTCTCTTTGATGGGATTTTAAGGTAATTTTTTTTCTTGGGAGCTTTTACCAGACAATTTAACAATTGATTCAAAAGTGTATTGCCATCGAGTAAACAAATTGAGTAATATCATCAAACAGAAAAGGCGGCCAGAATTGATCAACAAAACAGGTGTAGTGTTTTACCACAATAATGTCAAATTTCACACAAGTTTGGTAACTCGTCAGAAACTGTTATAACTTAGATGGGACGTGCTGTCACACCAACCATATTCGCCAGATTGAGCACACTCAGATTATTACTTGTTCCAGTCTATACAAATTTTTTTTAACTGTTAGACATTTACTTGAAATGACAATGTCAAAAATCACTTGGATCAGTTTTTTCTAAGCAATGATCAAAACTTTTATGAATGAAATCATGCTACTATCAGAAACGATGACAACAGGTATTTGACCAAAATGGTTGATATATAATTCAATAAAATAGTTATCTATTATGAAAATATTGTGTTTTTTCCCACAGAAAAAAAAACGAAATTACTTTCTGAACAACCCAATACAGTATACCAGGTTGTTCAATAAGTTTTGTCGTTCGATAAGAAAAACACGATTTTATGGTTTGAAATACATTTTATTATTCAATATAAT